AGGAGATCCAGGAACCAATACCCCTGTGTCTTAGGAAATGATCCTCAGGAGATCCGGGAACCCTACTTCAAAGCCATAGATGGAGAAACATCTCAACTAAATTCAGATCAAGGAGGAAATGGTGCTGAAGCCAATATCAGCTGTCAAAATCTCAGTTATCCTCACATCTTTATGATTCATTCAATAAACATATCTTGAAATAAAAATAATTTTCTGGGCAAAAGACTAACAACATCTGTTGACATCAGCCTACCCTGGCTCTGCAGTATGACCAGTGACATTTCCCTCTCATATCGGGTTGCCAGCTCTGGATTTGGAAATACCTGGACATCTTGGGGGAGGGACTTCAGTAGAAGAGAAGAAGAAGAGATTGGATTTACACCCCGCCTTTCACGCGTAGTCTCAGAGCGGCTTACAAACTCCTTTCCCTTCCCCTCCCCACAACAGACACCCTGTGAGGTAGGTGGGGCTGAGAGAGCTCTGAGAGAACTGCCCTTTCAAGAACAGCTGTGCCAGAACTACGACTTGTCCAAGGTCATCCAGCAGCTGCACGTGGAAGAGTGGGGAATCAAACCCGGTTCTCCCAGATTAGAGTCCGCGCACGTAACCACGACACCAACCTGGCTCTCAGTAGGGTATAACGCCCATAGAGTCCACCCTCCAAAGCAGCCATTTTCTCCAGGGGGGGAACTGATTTCTGTCGTCTGGCGATGAACTGTAATAGCAGGAGGTCTCCAGGTGCCACCTGGAGGCTGGGAACCCTACTCTCCTACAACCTCAACAACTGCTCTTGTCCAGTGGGTCCCCGTGACGCCCATTTCACAGATGGGCAACGGAGGCCAACGGAGGGTGACTCGTTCAGGGTCACCTCAGTTCACCTACTGCAGCGCGACTTGCTATTAACGGTCCCAACCAACCGAGACACGGTTGGAGGGCCTCCTTCCCAGGGCTATTTTTGGGCAGGAGCGCACAGGAACGGAGTTGGCTGGCTCCCAAGTTGGCCACGCCCAGCAAGAACTCATTAGCATAATAGGCCACACCCAACAGCAGGAACTCATTAGGATTGGCTACAATTAGGGGTGTGTGGCCTAACATGCAAAAAGCCCTGGGTTTTGACAACAAACAAGATAAAGAGAATAAGAAGCAAAAGGTGGGTGTGGCTGGATGACCACGCTTCTGGTAACATGGGGGTGTGGCCCAATATGCTAATGAGCTGTGCTGTCAGGGTGTGGCCTGATATGCTAATGAGTTCCTGCTGTTGGGTATGGCCTATTATGCTAATGAGTTCCTGCTGGGCTTTTTCTACAAAAAAAAAAGCCCCTTCCTGAAGTTAACCAGCTATGGGTTTGCTCTGAGCCTGAGCAGGAGACCTGCTAGGAACCCTGGGTAAAGAACTATCAGTTCCATGACGGAAGATAGAAAAGAGGACTGTGGAAAGGGCCGTCAGTTTGCAGCTGACTTATGGTGACCCCATAGGGCTTTCAAGGCCAGAGATGAATAGAGGTGGTTTGCCGTTGCCTGGCTCTTGGTACTTCCTTGGTGGTCTCCCATCCAAGTACTAACCAAGGCCAACCCTGCTTATAGGGCTGCCAGTCCCCCAGACTGGTGGGGTGAAAAGTACTGGGTTCGACACGTGGAGAACTTGGACTACGACATGCGTTCAGACGCGTTTATTGTACTTCACGACCAGACGAGGGCAGTCGCCCACCGCTGCCTCAACTGGTCAGTGTGTCGCCTCCACTTGCGCCCGTCCGCAAGCTGGACAACATACATTCGGGAACCCACTACCTCCGTAACTGTGGCTGGAAGCCACGAATGTCCACCTGCATAGTTCTTTGCAAAAACCGTGTCCCCACATTCGTATGTGCGGACCTTAGTGGAAACACTCTGTTGCTGGGGCCTCAGATCGTTTAAGTCTGGATGGAGCCTGTCAAGTAAGGACGCTAGGCGTCGCCCCATTAGTATCTCGGCCGGGCTCCAGCTGGTGGGGACTGGCCCCGTGCGCCCGGTCACCCAGCAGCAATACCGCTTGGAGATCAGGCGCTCAGGGCCCTGCTGGCTAGAAGCGCTTAAAGGATCCCTTTAAGCGCTTCCAGCCAGCGGGGACTGGAACGGCGCACCCGAACTCCAATCGGCATTGCAGCTTGGAGTTCGGATGTGCCGCCAGTGGCCGCCCCCTCCCTTTCCTCTTTCAAGACCTAAAGGGTCCTCCACCTGGTCAGCGGGCCCTTTAAACCTTGCAGGGGGTTTGGGAGAGGGGCAGCTGTCGGAGATTTTTCTTGGGGGCGGGGCTTGGAGGGGGATGTCCCCAAGGTGATGTCACCACGTTGGGGATCCCCCGTCCCCTCCGGGAACGCCCCCCAAAGTCCCCGACTGGGGACAAAATCAGTTCTGGCAACTCTGCCTGCTTAGCTTCCAAGATTCGATGAGATCGGCCTCGCCTGGGCTATCCAGGTCAGAGCAAGGAAAGACATAGATGTAAAAATAAATAAAGAGAACC